AACGACAAGACTTTATAAAATACATGTACAGGTGATTGAACTAGCTGAGGGACACTTGAACTGTATTGAGCCTATCATGTGCTGAAGAAATTTACTTGAATTTTGGGTTGGAAACTTGTGTCTGCTGAGCAATATTGTTTGTGCTTCTAAGTGAGTTCTGCTTTCTGCAGCTCCAAAAAACTGGGCCACGGTTCCTAATACCCGTGAGACACTTTCCTGTTTGTGGGATGCTGACAATGCAGGCGATGTGGTTGCCACTGGTCATAAACAACTGCCACATTGCGAGGATAAAAACGGCAGCCTCTTCAGCATCTCAAACGCATTCCTCTGGGATCATCATTTGCCAAGTTTGCAAAAATAAAAAAGTTTCATTTTTCCATTTACTTTGAAACTTCTCCCCCCCTCCACAGTCCCACAGACCTCCCAAACACCATCCCGACCGTCATTCTGGCCTCGGAAATTGCCCACTGAGGTGCCTCAGTCTGAAATGACCACGGTACCTACCATCATCGCCTGCTGCACCAGGGTGTTGCTGTGGTCGCACATGTTCTTCAGGATCTTGTTTGCTGCATTGTGGCGAGCCGTGCTCTGCGACTTGGAGGCGACGGTCAACGGATAGATCAGAGCCTGCATGGTCAAACAGACAAGCGGAGGATGAGTTCAGATTTGAGGGAACTGTGGGTGCTGTCTCAGCAGAGGACGTCACATGTAATTCCCTGACTGAGCTGAAAAAATGGCCGTCAATATAAGGAATGGTGCTTTTCATCTCATTGTATTCCTAGTGACTCTGGTTAGAATCCTACACAGTGTGCCAAGTCCCTACTCAATTATAGTCAACCACAGAGTTTTCTGTCATTTACTTTCCCTCACTATCTTTCAACTGAAAGGGATTCTTGCTTCTGTGAAATGCAGAAATCGGGGGGGGGGGCCCCAATGGAGGCGTGTCCAGCAAACAAAGGTTAATTTTCTTCCTTGCAAGATCCCAGCTAAAGATGTTAACATATTAAAATCTGGGAACCGTGCACACTACGAATCCAATTCGTATTTTATCATTTCTCTTTTATCAAAAAAACAAAATTCTGAAACCCCCCGTAGCTCCCCGTAGCTCTGGATCCCCCCTTGGGCAACACCACATTGGCTCTCAAAGACCCTAGTGACTACCCATCTATTAGTATGTCGGTTCACCCATCCGCATCCCCGTCTCTATCTCTCTCTAGCATCCCTCCTCACCTGCGGATGTTGTTTTCCAATGTCCATAAGGAGCTGGTGGATCAGTCGACCCACCAGCTGTCTGGGGGTATCGATTCTCGCTATCAGCTGAGGGATCACCTGTCAATCAGTGAAAGAAAAGGCTGCAGTTTTAGTTTGGGTTTCATTATTCCAAACTTGCTTACGTTTTGAGGTACACTGAATTATCTGTGTTAAAATCCGACCAAACAGTCCACAACACTTCAGGTATTCTGGAAAAAAATCTCTCGTGATACAGTTCTCTGAAAACAAACTTTCAAGCGACGACCCTCTGTAAGTTGGGGTCTTGGGCTATAGCTGATTAAACAATACTAGCCCCCCCCAACAATAACACGGTTCGAAAAAGCCCCACCCCTTTTGCTTTGAGATCTTTGTCACTTTTCAATGCAGGGAACAACTAAATCATACAAAGAAATCTGTACCACTTTAGACTATTTTTGTTGCTTTTTTATCTTTGAGAAACCCTGTATTGGAAGAGGCATATGAGATTTGCAATGCAGCACACACAAACAAAGAGACTGACAGACAGATGATCAGAAAATCAAGCAGGCAGACAGGCTTTTTACTGGAACAACTACAACCACAACTGCTCTGAGGAGAGATAGAAAAAAAATGAGGAAATGAAGTTCTGCAAACAATTTCCACCATCGTCTTATCTCTTCGCAAATCGGGCACTTAATCAAGTCACCGTCCTATGAATCACTTAACACCCTAGTGCCAACAGATTTGAGGCATCCATCTGCATCTTTGGTACGAAAATGAACTACTGGTCAGGATGTTACTGGTGGAAACGATAATTAGGCTGGTTTGACTTAGAGGTGTAAAGACCGCGATCCAGACATAAAGTTGAAATGAATATGTTTGCTCATTCATTAACACTACCACGGTGACTTCTTCAGAGTTTGCACGCAATGGCGATCCCCCCCCAAAAAATACAGTCTTGCATACTATCAGCCGGGAAAGACAGAGCATGAACTGAGGACTTTCATTCCAAGATTACAAAGAGGAACAATAACAGTATTTTCTTGAATAGAAACAAATGTGGACATTACAACGGAGGACTACACCATAGGTGACAGTTTGTGAACCCCACTTGCTCATTAGCTGGCTAACTTGAATTTAGAAAATGTAGAAAGACAATCAAGAATACAGGAAAGATACATCTAGCGATGTTTGGTACTTGACAGTGTGACTAGATGACCTCACTGATACGCTGATGCATATGGCAATTTTGTACAAAATACGGAACAAAAGAGGCCTTGAAACTCCCTGGACTATGATGGCAGTACAAAAGACTTTGAAAAGATTAAAAATTCCCCAGAAATAGCCACCTCCGGTATGACGTGGACTGCTGCTTCTAAACAGAAATAGCAGCCAAACACGCCACAAATTAGTGCTCGGTAATTCCCGACAGAATGCCAGGAAGACCCCAATTGATAAGCTTCCCAATTACGGAGGAAAGAGGAGAAAAAAGGAGTAAGGAGAGCGAGACAAGGGAAAGACCTGCCGCTGACCCTTTCCACTGACCCCAACCTCCACTGATCGCTGACAATTCAACAAGACCAATCTCATGGAAATCTTCATTACTGATCGCATTATGTCTGCAAAAATGTTTCCGGGGTAATATTTTACTCGACGACGTGTCGCATGAGTGTACAGCTCAGAATTACGAATGTGTTTCAACAAGCCAAGAAAATGCCGACGGACAGTCGATGTCCGCTGCCCTAAAAGATCAGCTGACTACCCTTTTTTTTTTTGCGATAAACGATTGAGCAATTTGTCTTGCTTAAATTTGACTTCATTTGCGTGACACTATACTCTCCCCTTCTTAACGAGGAGCAATCCTGGGCCTTTCAGTCCTTCCTGATCTTTATCATCCTTCATCGTATCTTAGTTAATGTTAACCCCATCGCTGCCCCAGGAGTTGCAGTCGACAAGCAAACAGGATGCAAATAATGCCGCCAACTGAACGCAACCCTTAATTGGAGACAGTGCCCTCTGTCAAGATGTTCATTCACTTTTATGAAAGGCAGGGAGGTAAAGGTCTTGGAAAAATAACAGCTGTCAAAGTAAAAGAGCGAATATCCAACATATCATGCATATTCAACTAAGATACCAATCTCTAGACAGTCTTGATATTACAATGAATATTTATTACATTCTTGATCACTCTATTAACATGTACTCTACCATTCAACAATCCACATGATATATTTATTCAACAGTCTACAATCAATCTGGATGCATACATGCATGCTAATGAAGGGCATTCACTTCTGCAGGTGACTTCTAAGAAGCTTATGCATATTCAACAATCTACCCTCTGAAGTATTAGTTTGGAAATGCAAAGACAACTTCAAAATAGTGAGTGTTCATCTGACTCATTCATATTCAACGGTTCAAACAGACAGTCTGGACACTCCAATGAATGAAGTCACACTGGAGAATTGTCAACATCCTCAGCATACTTGACAGCCCGACATCCAGGTACAATAATGTACCTCAATAATTCCGGAGACCCAAGGGCCCACTTCCAGACACATTTTTTCTTCACTGCCTGGCCCGGTGACAGAGCTGCGAGTGCCAGGGTCGACATGGTTGGGCTCAGATCTGGCTCTACCAGTTGTACATACCTCACATCAGCAGTATCCAGTCTCTGCCAGTAATTGGCAAACCATTCATGAGGATGGCTTGTCCATTACGTTAAACAGCGTCAGAGAAATCAGAGCTCCACTTCTGCGATCCATCATTTGCGAAACCATGTGAACTATTTATCCAGGGTAGATTCCTCTTACCTCAACGAGGACATTTAAGGAATTTCCATTTCCAAATGAAAGATACTTCACAGATAACATTTCGATGAGATGTGTGGAAAGCAACAGTCAATCCTTTATTGGCTTCTTTTGCTTTTTAACCCACAATATTGCGGTCTTCACAGCCACAAGGAGTAAGAGTAGCTTGGGCAGTGTTTGGTTTGCCTCACTGAAAGCTCGTCAGTCATCCGACATAAGTATGAAAATGGTGCTTCTTTTCACGTGAAAGGTTTGACATAAAAACCAACAAAAACTCAAAACTTTTGTTGACTTTGTACTGGCAGGCATTCCTCCAATCCAGGCTGCGCCACATTCAAGTGCAAGCAACTTGCCCCCAAAATAAAGACCAACGAGACAAAAATCCCCTCTTTCCCTCCGGAACATCTTTTCTCGGATCAATCAACGGCAGATTACGACTGACGCAATCTCGTCAGATGGATCGAGCCCCACTTCAACGACACTGATGCCATCATTGGTTTGATCTCCTGACAGAGCGGAAGCACCAGGGTGACAGCCTGCTGACTTCAATTACTGTCACTGCTGTGACACGAAGTTCTGGAAACAGCAGCTTGACTAGACGAGGGCGTGGGGACTTAATATTTGATGGAAACACCTCCAATTACTCGCAGGTGCTGTCGCGGGGGTAATGATGGGACTACAGTACCTCAAACTTCAGCCAAACTTCCCTCCATTGTCTCCTCTCTTTAGACTTAAAGTTACCTTCCTGCGCCAATTTCTTTACCCAAAACACTTGTTTCAGGAATTTTTTGGAATGATTTCTCATTTCCAGTGATATGTCCCTCCCCTGTGTCAGTCTGCTTCCTCTTAAAAGGTCAACTCCTAAAATATTCTTGGCCTTGAAGTCAAAGCGGGAAAGAATTCTTGAACATAAACTGAATCTGAGGGTCTGATAGTGGGTCTGTGATCTGAGAGCTTCTGGTTCAAAATTGGTACAGAGCATCCAACCTTACAACTCCGAACCCTGGAGTATTGTACGTTTCCATGCCAAGCGTACAGACAATTCTTAGCCCAAAACAACTTTCCTTCAAAATAACCATTTTGCAGGGGAGATACAGAAAGATTTTCTCACAAGAATTTTGAAATGCTCAACATCAGGGGTGAGATGGTGGAATGTAGAGAACTCTGCAATACCACTGAGCAGAGGGGTTGTAACAACATTAATACAGCAGGCTGACTTTCTTGGGCTTCTTAGCAACAAGGCAGGAGTTTTCTCCCAAATGGTTATGATTATGTGAAGCTTGAATTTATCCGCACAACTTACAGTAATAAGAAGCAAATCCTGTACGATTAGAATAATTTAAAACTCAAGATTTGGGAGGTCTAAATTGTGGCCTGAAAGACCATTGAGTGCTGTTGATGCTGTGCAAGATTACTGCTGTGCTTCATGCATAACAGGCACACTCAAACAAACCGCATGCATGCGGGGTACCACCCAACGCAGATCAACCCTTGCAAAAGCCCCCATGGCCATTATACGCAATTACTGCTTGGTAAAACTCAAGTCACACTGATCAACACCAAAAAACTACCCTCTACCAAGGTAAAATACGATGTGATACAGAGTTCGGTAAGAGTGCCCGACTGGACAAATGTCCACCCCTCCAGAAAGACTGGCCAAAGCGGTACATCTACATGTAGTGTCTTATTTCTGCATCCTTGTTTCTGGCCAGCCTCACTAATCTCCACTGACTAAGGTTGTCAACCACAAGCTTGTTTTCACAAGCTCTGCCGGTGCCAAGCATCTGACCACTGGTATTTTGCCTTGGACCTGCTCTCCCAATAACAGGAGAGCCAGATGCAGCCAAGACACTTGGCTTATTTGTTTGTTGACCCTCCAATGTTGGGCTGAAAGTACTGGGCCTGATCTTGAAAATGATGGTTAACGTACATGTGTGGTGTTTTTGATGGCCGTGAGGCAGCCTAATTTGTTGATCAGCACTGTATCTCCCTTCAAAAGACTCTAAACACATTTTATTACTGCTGCACTAGCTCATGGGCAATGCACATATGACAACTACATGTACAAGTATGCGTAAATTTCAACGGAATGTACACAAGTTTTCAATCTTTTCTTCCAATGTACATGTCTGATGAGTGAACCTTTTAAAAAATCGGACAGAGTTTCGAAGTGTGAAATCGGATGTAATCAATTTGTGGACATATACATGTATGCAGGCCTATATGGCTTAACCCTAACAGTCCCAAATCCTCCGATTTCAATATGATTTTACATATACCATGGGGAGT